TGGGATCGAATGGCCGGTTAACCAGCGATGAATTCGCTGTCGTCACCGCTTCTTCATTTTCGATCGATGGTGTCTTTCCGAGTCGCTCTTGAAGAACTTTGACCTTGGGCAACAGGTCATTTTGAAGTTGAGCACAGCTATCTTCCAGACGTGACTGGTTTGGCTTTAAGACAAAGTCGAACGCTCCAAGTCGAAGTGCCTGAGTCGTTGCGAGTGCGCCATGATCCGTCATCGCGCTAAGCATGATGACTTCCGGCTTCCAAGTCTGTTTATGCAGTTCGCGTAAGACCTCGATTCCGTTCATGACCGGCATTTCAACGTCAAGCGTTACCAGGTCTGGGCGAAAATGATTGATCTTATCGAGGGCACTTTTCCCATCCGAAGCGACGGCCACAACTTCAACGCCTGGGCATTGAGCAAGCGTGTCTCGAACAACTTTCCGAAACAACGTCGAGTCATCGACAATTATCACACGCATAGTTCGTATTCCCTGATTGCCCAAAAAAGTGAGTAGCGAGCCCCAAATGCTGGAGCTCGCTCTCCCTTCATTTTCCTAATCTACGCTTAAGCACCGATGGCCGGATGGCTTGCCGCGTCGTTCGCTTTCGGATGTTCTTCTCCGATGTTGAACCGCGAGACCACCTTTTTCAGGCTGTCTGCGAGACGGGCCAGTTCTTCGCCTGACTGCTGCGACATCTCGGCTCCCTGGACCGTTTCGCTGAGGACACGATCGACTTCGCAGATATTTTGCGTGATCTCGCTACTTGCGGTTGCCGACTCATCGACGCCTCGCGAAACGACTTCCGCAGCTGAAGCCGTTTCCGCAATATCTTGCGAGATTTGCTTGGTCGTGATGCTCTGTTCTTCGACAGCAGAAGCAATTGTGCGTGCCAATTCATTCACACTGTTGACCACTTCGCTGATCTCTGAAATCGAGCTCACAGCATCCTGCGTCGAACTTTGAATGTGCTCGATACGTTTACGAATGTCATCCGTTGCCGACGAAGTTTGCTTGGCTAGTTCTTTGACCTCGGTCGCCACCACGGCAAATCCCTTGCCTGCTTCCCCAGCTCTGGCCGCTTCGATCGTCGCGTTCAATGCCAGCAGATTGGTTTGTTCGGCGATATCTTCAATCACCTCAATGACCCGACCAATCTCATCCGCCGCGGTACCTAGATGACTGATTTTATTGTTGCTGTCATCAGCAATCCGGGTGGCTTTATCGGCAACACCAGCACTTGTTTCGGCGTGCTTCGCAATTTCGGAAATGGTGGTCGTCATCTCATCGATCGCCGCAACCACCGAATTAATCCCGGTCGACATTTGGGTCGACGAACTCGCCATGTTCTTCATGTTGAT